GGGATTTTGTCTACTGAGCTGATGATGGCGGACAGGAACTTGTCTGTCACAGCCCGCATGTTCCTGATGGAGTTGTCCAGCCGCGTCCTGACCTCATCATGAGCCAGCGCTTGCTCAGGAGTTACATCATAGGGAAGTTTGCTGGAAAATCAGAAAATACTACCAACTGTTAGACCCTGCCCAGGAACTACCTGAGGAAGAGAACACCTCTTCCAAAAATAGAAAGCCAGACCCAGAAAGATTGCTTAACAAGCAGGTGAATGTGGAGGGTCGGAGTTGGAACTCAGGTTTTCACCTGTGTATTGCACTGTACCTTCAATGATATGCTAGGAACTATGACTGACACATGAGATACATAACACAGGTACAGTCTACTGAGGAGCATATGGCCTGGTGGGAGAGACATACACACAGATAAACATAATTCACTAGAAGAAAGAAGTGGAACACTAAGTGTCAAAGGAAGGGGCACATTTCAGACTGCAGAATTTAAGTGAGAATTTCCAGAATGAAGGGACGTGTGAACTGAAGAAAATGGAGAGGAAGCTTCTGCTGGGAATAAAGATCAAATGCAAAGAAAGAGGAAGAAAGATGAGGCCGGAAAGGTAAAGTGGGCCAGGTCATGGAGACAATGCTAATATTATTATTATCTGGAAGAAAGAATCATTAAAAGACTGAATCATGAAAAGATCTGCATTTTTGTGGAATACTGCTCTGGCTTACGATGAGGAGTTAAAGACGGACAGGCAGCCACAGAGGTTAATGCCATCACCTGATTAAGAAATGATGGATACATAAACAAATGCAGCAGAGGGGACCAAGGAAAAAAACAGCAGCTCTGTCATCTATTAAGGAGATACAGTCAACACGACTTAGTGACCCTGTAGTTGCTGGTGAGGCGGATGGCAGTTAGATAGAGAAACTGAAGACACAAGATGGCCAAGCTCACTCACGGAGAGGACACTGAGCTGGTTGGTCATCCATGGACAGAACTCTGGAGCATGAGAAAGCGTGAGGCGAGAGCAGAGAGGAGTGCCAGCAGAGTGCAGACACATGGCCTGGAGGTAGGAAAATGACAAGAGCCACACTAATCCATGCGGCTATACACAGCAGGCAAGGGAGCTGAAGAACCTGGCAAAAGAAGGGTAGATGGGCTAGAATGTGGGAGACCAGGGTTAACGGGGAAGGGCATGACGATTAACAAGCTGAAAGACAAAAAATGAAATGCAGAGGTCAAGGTCTGGGTACTTTCTGTGGCATCTAAAGCAACAGTGCAGAAAAGGAATGATCATCCTAAAGACAATGGCTGTGATCAGAGAAGAGAACATTAAATCTGCAAGACTTCAAGGTGAGCACCCCGTCAAGATGTGACAACATTGCAGTTTACAATGTGTTCCGTGACTGAAGTAAATTAAGAGAGAATACACCAGTCCATGATCTGAGATTTTTACATGTTACATGAGTTTGTCATACCACCTGACATCCTCACAGTTATTAGTAAGAACAGAATTTTTATTTTATGAAAAGCTAAGTAAAAAACAAAGTTCCCATAAGGGAAAAAATTCAGAAATGCTCAGTGGAATTTTTTATCTGCAAGTCACTAATGTGTGGATCACCGAAGGGAGTAGCTGTGTTACTACCCATTAGTTCTTATCTGGGACAGCCTGGGCTGCAGGCAAAACCTCCCAGGCTAAGAGCTGTAGTTAGCTAAGCACATTTTCAGAGTGTGGGCCTTAGGGACACAGCCTACAAACGGCTTTACTACTCTGTCCTCTTAGGCAGAATCGACCTGGTTGCAGTGGAGCTAACGGGAAGAGTCAAGTGTTAGCCTGCACGGCATTGTGTGCTCAGAGAAATAATGTCTGGGGTGGAGGTGCTGCACTTTTGTGGAAAAGTATGGTACTAGAAATGAAACATCCAGAATGGAAATAATGAGTACATTCACACACTGTGAAGAATATAATTGATACCAATGAATAATCTGCGTACAATTTGTTGATTGGAAACCTAATCTGCTTTGTAAATGTTCACTGAAATCACAATGAAAATGATCCAAGGTGGCAGGGGAAAACCCCAAAACATCATTAAACTTTCCTCGATTTGTAATATTATTTTTAAGCACCTGTTGATTGTTTCTCACAGCTGTGAACACAGCAAGGGAGCATGTGTGGGCCACTGATTATTGTATTCTAGCATCTAAGATATTGCCTGGCACACAGTACTCAATAAAATAAATAAATCTACTGAATAAGTGAACCTATCACAAAGCTAACATTTAAAGAACTGTTTTCTAAGGAAAAATTCTTTGAACCATTATTAGTTTTTTAACTAAAGTAGCATAAGTAGCATTTTAAAAAAGGAAAAGATACTATGTTTTCATACCTGGCTTCTCCTGTCTGAGATTCCATCTGATTAACCCAAGATTTATAAATGTCCACGGGGTCAGTTTTTATGTTGAGAGACTTGTCATCCATGATCTCCTTCACTACTGGGGCCAGGATCTGCCTCAGGGCATTCTGTCCCCGGGCACCACGGTTGAAGCTTACAACCATCTTAATAACTGTAGGATTTCCTGTCACAATTTCTTGAATCTGATCTACTTTTGACCTATAAAACATCAAATACAGATTCAATTTAAAATAATCATAGTCTCTGTTAATCTAAACATCACACTAGATCATTCCTATTTAAAGACTGTGCCTCCCAAAGACAAAAAATTCGAAAGCCACTTCCTAACATTCATCTAAGTGGTACACACTTAATCACAGGCTCTTTATGAGACAAGAATGTGGTTTGTATGATAGTGTGTCTCTAAAATGAGCAATTTCTTATTCTACCCCTCCCCAGAATTGCAGTGCTACCACAAAGGCAAGTGGTCCAGCAGCTGCTCTGTAGAAAAAAAGACTGGCAATCTCCTTTCATGGATTTGCCTCTGAAAACTCGCTAGAGGGTCAGCTGAGTTGGTTCCAACTAGATGGTACAGAACAAGAGCCACCATCTCTTCCCAGAAGCAGCAGCACTTTATAGTAGTGTTGCTAATTAAAAAAATGCTTCTTTAAATATTTCATAAAAATACAGTATTAACAGAGATTAAAAAAGATGTAAGCAGGCCTGAATGTGAAACCATGGCATATACATCAGTGTGAAGGGCTGACAATGTACAGGAAGGCCTGTGGCGAACAGAAGGTTCCTACTTGATTTCCTCCTGGAGGGCGGTCTTAAAGAGCCGAAGGAGCAGGTACTCCTCTCGCTGGTTGGAAGCATAGTTGTAGAGTGTAAAGATTACAGAGTCCATGAACTTGGTTGACTTGTTCTGAGGCATCTGAAAAATCAGCTTGGCCAGATAGGTGGGATTGGTCTGAAACAAAAACAAGGACAAGGGATTTTTACATAATAAAAAGGCTGGGCAAGTCAAGGTTTTTGAAACTATAAAAGACTATAAAAACCCATCATAGTAATAAAACAGCTCTTCACTCATTCCTCAGTGGAAATGAGAATTACTTCCAGAAAGATAAAACTAGTAAGGCTGCTTCTTTTTCTTTGTGTTTTAACGAAGTTTACAGAAAAGTTGGATTTTCATTCATTGTTGCATATTTTCCTCCCTATCGCTCCCAGTTCTTATTTTTTTAAATACTCGTTCCTTACTGGATAATTTCCTCTCTCCACCTGGTGCGGCTGTAATTAAATTTTGCTGTATTAATTCCAGGAGCCACTCACCTGCAGTAAATAAAATAGGTGCTGATAAGCTTCCAATTTCTCTCTCTTCTCTTTGCTCAGAGCCTTGAGACCTCCCTTCTGTTTATTTAGCATCATCATGTCAGACAACTGCTCCTTATTTTTTTTGGTAAGCTTTTTACTGTGGGAGACCACATCCTATAAACAAACACAAACATATAAAGTAAAAGTCTTTCAGGATAAAATGCTGAGAAAGGTCTACTACACCAGACATTCTTACTAAATAATTTAGAATCACTCCACCAGAGACTATTTAAATACACCAGTCAAATGCATTGGTACTTCCACCTTCCCATAAAGAATCTGGCCACTGACCCAGAAATTCAATGTCAAGGAATCTAACTTGGCCAACCCAAAGGTGCAACCCAAAAGTGCCCACTGGAGGGTTGGCTACTAGCTGAGAGTCGGTTCCAGCTCCCAGCTGGATGGTACATAACAATAACATTAACGTATACAAGAGTTATTAATTACAATGTTGCTTTAAAAAACAATGAAGATTTAGGAAATAATCCAAATGACAAACAATGGAAAGAGAGAAGGTAAATAATATTGTGTGTGTGTGTGTGTGTGTGTGTGTGTGTGTGTGTGTACCGTCAAATTGGATCTGACTGGTACAGGAGGCAATTGTTCCTCCTTCAGCAGAGCATCTGGTGGATTTGAACCGCGCACCTCTGGGATTGCAGTGCAGTTTCTTGCCACTAGGCCACCAGAGCTCGCCGGTAAATAATATTTTCTAATGTGTTATTATGCCGCCATTAAAAAATACTGATAATTGTTTGATTATGGAAAAGGCATCTAATCTCCTAAAGTGAAAATGTAAAATACAAAGTGACTATGAAATAGTGGAATTATGCAGACTTTTCACTTTCTTTTCTCAATGTAGTTTTATCTAGTATGCATTTATACATATGTGTATATAACTTTAAAAAAAACAACCATATAGCCTGTCCCCAACCTTCTGTGAGTTTAGTAAGGGTGAGGTGGGTGGCAGAGCAGGCCCTGGTGCCCCAGGGCCCAGTTGAAATGGATCATACCTGCAGCGTAATCTTATTTTTCACTAGGAGCCCGATTTTGATATCCATGAGATTGAGGTCATTCTCCAACTGCTGGTTAGAACGAATCAGGGTGATAACCTCTTCCCGCATCTTCATAAGGTCAAGTTCCTCTTGAAAATCCTGGTCACTTTGATCCAGCAGATGGACAAATTTTCGGACTACAATCATAGGGGGGTCCTCGGCATTGACTGACAGAAAGAAAGTATGCATTATACAAACGACAGTGCTACCAGAAAAGTTTCAAGCTCGGGAAACATCAGCATTGTCTTGAAAATGTTAACTATTAAAATATATATATTTAAATATTATTCAGGTGTGTGTGTCTGTGTGTGTGTGTGTATATATATTTCTTTTTAAATGAGCTAAAACCACCAACAAATCTTGATCACACTTATGGCAAAGGTTAACATGGCAAGTGATGCAACTTCTAGCTCCAAGCTAGCAAAATGCTTAAGATTAAGTGGCATCCAGTTCCAAAAAACAGAACAGAATAGGGAGAAGCTAAGGTTGCCCACCACGGCCTCAACTCTGCCTGGAGTGGCAGTTACTCACTCAGAGTCTTGTAGTCGTCGCGAGCTTTGTTTGCACGAATAAAAGCCTGGATTTTGATAATGTCATTGATCTAAGGAGCAAAGAAAAAGAAATCCTTTGTTCCCTTGTCCATCAAATATACAGCAAGGCAATTACAGCCCTACTAACTCAGGGTACATACATGGTCTCGGAAATACTGCAGACGGTCTCTGTAGCGCTTTCTAGCTTGATACATCCTCGCCAGTGATTGAATCTATGAAAAGGGGATTGTGACATTTAGATGAGTCACCTCCACGCATCTCATCCTTGCACCCCACTTGGAGAAACCCTTTTTCTGCTACCATACCTTTATAACCTCATCTTTATGGGAGCGCAGGTAAGCTAAGCGATCTTGATAGGCCTTCTTCTGCTTGTAGCCCCTCCACTGCGACTGAAATCAAACAGTACAGATGACAGATTTCCCAAGGAGCAGAGGAAGGTTAGAAGATTTCATCTCGATACAGTAAATAAGTGCAATCCATGGTGATGCTTTGAAAAGGACCAATCCCAACATTGACAGGGAACTGTGGCTGAGCCGCACCTCTACCGAGGGGAACACGAGTTAACTTCTACTTCCTGCTGTTAGAGCAGCACGTCAAGCCTTTAAACATGCATCCGCACAGATTCTTTTCTTTGTTCGTTACAAATCAAGTGAGGAAGGTACAGTATCAATACCTTCATTTTACAGATGAGGCATCATTCTTATTTAGAACTCTTTTATAATATTATGCTACACTGTCTGAGGCAAAATCAACACTATTTTCCCTCCAGGTTTAATCTCAGACAAGAAATAGACTTGAAGGCTACTAAGGTCTCTAAGAAGAATAGCCCCTGTGTCATGGTTCACTATTAAATACCTCTCAACATTCCAAAGAGAAGGCACTTGTTTAAAGGATCAGAGACAAAGAAGTCAGAAGTCAAAAAGCACGCTCACACACTGGATTGGGAAAGGTGTTTATTACCCGCTCTAGAAGCCCACCTACTGTCCAACTAACTGTCCCTGAAATACCTGGATGCAGGTGATGGCAGGGATTTGTTTCCTCAGGAAATTCATCCTGGATCGAAATTCCCGTCGAACTAAGTATCCACGGCAGCAAGCCTGCAGCTTCGTGATCAGACCTTCATTGGCCAGCCAGAGCTGTTCCCGGTTATATGCAGCTGTCACCCCCGAGATGGAGCTCTGAACAAAGCACACGGACACGTTAGAACACATACATGGGTGAGAGGGACATACTTTTAACCCTCACTGGCTAGCTAGCAACTGGGCTGGGTGACATGGGGTTACTGTTAATAAGAACCACCTAGGGATGGGATGTGCAGCAAGTTTCAGGGAGCTCCTACACTAGCCGGGGAGGTGACGCTTAAAGTCACACTGCCAGGCTCATGACACATGGTCTCCATAAGCTGCCTAGAGGGTTTGGGTTGCTACTGTAGAGAATGAGCAAACTTGCAAGCAGAGGGAAAACACAGTTAACAGAGTAGCTGACAGACTAGAGTAAGAAAGAACTTGAAGCAAGGGATAAGGTGATGGAGGCAGAACAAGGGTGGCAGTGGTGAGAACAGTTTAGGCAGCAATATCTGGTTACCCACCCATTGCTTATATTCTCCCCTGTCCTTGTTATCAGAGTTCTACTAATGGGCAATAATGAGCCCAGTTAAAAGAGTTCATTAGCTAGAGATGGCCAGGAGACATAAGCAGAGGTAAGGAAACAAAATTCAGGCAAACTCCTGAAAGGAGAGACAGATTGCTGCCATTGTGGCTTTTGTGCTTTCCCTTCCTTTTATACTACGTCCTGTGTGGGCAGCCCTCCAAGCTGTCACTGAGGCTCACAAAGCGACCCTGAGAAGGCAAGTCACATGTTGCAGTCAAAAGGCCTTGAGAAGGATGATGTTATGGAGCTAATGTCCCAGGCCACCAAACTCTAGAATCACTTTATGGGGGGAAGAAAAAGAAACATATCCTTACATACTACTAGAGACTTTTTCCCCCTAAAAGATGAACCTGAAAATTACATACTCTTCACCCTGCTAGGTAAGTTCTGACTAAAGAAGCTATTTCATGTCATATGTATTTATATAGTCTGTTCTACACAGAAAAAGTCGAGTGTTTAAAAGCTCTTTGGGGTTCTGTCCAAGATTCTTTGATGTCAATTAATAATGTGTCTTGACCTTGGAAACAGGAGTGGCATCCACTTCCTAAGTTTCCTCTGGAAACTTTAATAACTTTGATAAATTGTTGTAAGTTATAGAAAGTCTTCAGGCCTTTTGTTCATAGGGTTGCTATGAGTCATTCTCAACTCAACGGCAACCAACAATACCAATAATCATGACCTAAACTAGCCTACTGAATGAACATTTTTCTTTACGCTTTCTTATCCTTGTTTAAAGGATAACTCATGAAATAATCCCAGTTTCGTGAACATGAGCTCAGTGACTCTACTCTTTTGTTTAAATAATTTTAATGAACATTTACAGAGATTTTGGATTTCCATTCATTCATTGCTGCACTTGTGGCTCTACTTTCTCAACAGCCCACCAATGACAATTTAAGTGTCATTACGGCAAGGAAAGCTAGTGGTTCACCCTGAAATCTAGGAAGGGGCTTAAGACAAATACAAACATAACTAAAACTCAAATCTGAGTAGGTTAGATTCTGAATCCAGCTCAAAATTATTTGTGGGCTTCAAAGGAAGATGGAGACAAAGGAACAAAAGATTCATAAAGGAAATTACAAGCGAGACATATGTGCCCAGAAGAACTGAATTTGGGCACATGCACACCCTTATACTCTATGTAAGAGAGGGGAGAGGGAGGGAGGGAGAGCTCATGAGAACAGGGACTGGGTTTTGCTTCTGGTGTCTTTTCAGCACTTAGAAGAATATTTGCTACATCGATGGAAGTTCTCAATAAATAACTGCTGAGACAAAGAATACATTCCAGGAAGAACTAACAGCATAAGTGAAGATGGAAGATGATGACAAAACCTACTGGAAATGCTGCTATAAACATGCTCACTACTTGAAAGCGTAGATTATATTCTAATTTTTTGTGTGTATGTGTACCGTCAAATCAGATCTGACTGGTACAGGAGGAGATTGCCCCTCCTTCTCTGGCAGAGTATCTGGTGGATTTGAACTGCGTATCTCTGAGACTGCAGTGCAGCTTCTCACCACTAGGCCACCAGAGCTCCCCTAAAAGCGTAGATTATATTCTAATACACTACAGCTTGACTAGAATTTGTGGAAGAGTGAAAAACCCTGAAAATTGGGAAAGACAAATAGCTGCATTTAATGGGAAAGAACAGTAACTTTTCATTCTTTCTTCTTTCCTGGATCACCCAAGGTTTCTTTACTAAGCACACAATTTATTTAATTCTGCAATTCAAACGTTTTACCAAATCAGGCCTTTGTCACTCCACATGAAAATATTTCCAAATAGCTCGTTTTCATTCTTTACATAGCCTAAATTTTATCATAATTTATGATTATGTCTAAATAATTGTCTCAGAACATCTTCTCACCCGAGGAAAAGTGGCCTACCTGGATCTCCTCTCGAGAAAGATGCATGGAATTCTGCACAAAGCCCGCAGGTTCTTCCCATCCTCCTTCCTGGGTCTCCAGATTATGGTAATAGTGATAGCCACCTTTCACCCAGTGCTTCACCCACTTGCTGTTATTATCTCCTGGCAGAAATGAAAGGAACAATAAAAGAATCTCAGAGTTACATTCCTATATTTACATGTCTAATACTACAGGATTATTCCAGTTAGGTTCAAAATCTAAATGAAGATCTCTCCAAAGCCTGTTTCTTGGACCTATGGAAGTAAAGGGTGCCTATGGAAGTCTGTGCCTTGGACCTATGGAAGTAAAGTTACAGCTTTGTAACACTGTCTAACTTAGCTCACTTAATCAAGTTATAAAAATAAAATAACCATGACTTAACAACTCAGTTTCTTCCTAAGCCTATTCAGATGCTAGAAAATGCTCTGATAAAAGGTCTGTAATCATTCAGCCACCATTAAGAATAAAATGAGATGAGAAACCCTTATCTTTATTCTCTATTTTTTACTGGTACACTACATTCAACTGTCCAGAGGCTTAGGTAATCAGGGAATGGTGATGCTCTATACAAAGAAAAAAGATATTTTGCACCAACTCACATTCTCTGAAAACTGCTCTCATTGGTATATTATTGACTAGCAGACTTTTAAATGAACCCAAATACCATAGTTTTGTGCTGGAATGTCCTTCTCTACAGTCTGTCCTTTTCCTGTATTTCTTCCCTCTTATACAGTTAAGTTCTTCACTTGAGGACACGTATTCATTTCCCCACAACTCACCTGCTGCCAGTTTTTTCTTCTTGGCTTCAGCAAGGTCACTCTGGTAAGTTTCACCACATTCAGGAATGACACCATACAACCCAACATCAGGGGAACGGAGGGCACTCAATGTTTTGCCAACATCACCATTGTCCACTGCTTCATTAATTGCAAAGACGCCCAAGGCAACTATAACATCAGAAGATATGTTATAGGACAGAAACCATCTAAATTAACACATTTCACCTAACTATACCTATCGGCAAATTATTCCTCCTAGATCTTTCTATCTTGGTTAAATTGCAAATAGAATAGAACTACTTCTCTACCAAAACAGAAATAAAGCAACTGATACATACACTTATGTGCTTCCTGGGTATCTTTGTTGGATTGCCAGATTCCACCCTGAATTTCATCCAACCACAGCACAGCCGACTCATCCTGGGTCTCCTACACACCATCAAAAGCAGAAAACTATCAGAGACATGAACTGGGGTACATGCAATACAAACGGAAAGAAAAGTAGGCTTAAGCCTCAATTAGATATGGAGGATGAAGGATAGGCAAATGAAAGCAGCTCAATATAAAAAAAAGTATAAAAGTTTAAGAGAAAAACTCACTAGAGGAAAAGTTATAAGCTTGTTTTGACTCAATGACTGTGAAGTGTTTGAGATACTACACTTATTTGGTACTTTAGTTTGTTTTTTTTGGGGGGTTGCTGTTGTTACTCCATTTGTTTTGCTTTTGTGTGGAAAATTTTTATATTAAACATTTTCCTACTTAGAAAAAAAAGAGAAATGTCTCTTGAAGTAAAGAACACTGGAGATGAATTCCTTTACAAACCCTTCTTTAAAAACAACCCAAAAACCATAAGAGAATATTTCCCAACTCATTCTATGAGGCCATTATTACCCTGATACCAAACCGGGACATAAAGGCATCATGAGAAAAGCAAACTATAGGCCAAATTTAAGATCCTCTGCCTACGCAATTTGGAACTGTTAACTACTTTAAAAAGTATTCCCAAAAAGGCTCAGAGGAATTCGAAACTAAGCTTATGCCTTAAAAAAGGCAATTCCTCTTAGCCCAGCCTGCCAGCATTCGGCAAGCTCTACTCTCCCCACCCTCTTCCTTAGCTTGGAGACTCCAAAAAACTAAGCCACTGCAAAAGGAAATGCTTCAAGCTCTAGTCATATCCTCTAGAAACTCCCACGATCCCTTCAGGGGCACAGTCTTACGGCCTGAGTGAGAGCAGGTGCAAATCGACTTTCCATTTTAACTTTAAACCTAACCCTAGCTTGTTGTCCCAAGTGGTACTTCTCTGTCAGTCAGAGGCAGACTCCCTCTGGACTTACATGACAACAAACCCTTCTACCAATGGCATAACACCATCACTGCAGTCAGGCCCTACAGCAGAGAGTATGAATTTTTAAGAACATGTATTTTTAAAAAATTACTCTTTCTAAATTACTTTCATGTTTGAGAAGCTCTGACGTGATCATGAATCAAAAATGTAGACTTCCACTTTCAGCTTCTCTGATACTCAACTCTTCAAAGCCAAATCAGCTGGCCATTTGTCTCAATTTCCTGACTGCAATACCATGGGTGATGATGCAAACCTCTCCACAGGATCAAGTGATATCCAACATAACGTGCCTCCTAAATGAAACCTGGTAATATCGACACCATATTTACAACTTTTTTTGGTAGAGACCATTTGGTCAGTCCCAACTTCCTACATACAACAGACCACAGACAGCTTGGTCCAGCCTCACTCTCACAATAGTTGCTGTGTCTGAACCCACATTGCATCCAATACGTCAATCCATTGTATTAAAGATATATTCCGTATTCTTTGTCAACATCATTAATTCAAAACCAACAGTTCTCTGGTCTGCATTATTCATTGTCCAACTTTTGCATGCACAATGCAAAGAAGAATTCACATCAAGTTGGATCTGACTTATAGCTGACCCGCCAGAGGGTTTTCTGAGACTGTAAATCACAGAACATGGGATGATAGGAGGAGACTGCCTCTCTTCTCCCTTCAAGCCGCTGGTGGATCTGAACCTTTGGATTAGCAGCACAACTCTATGGAGCATGCACCTGAAGATGCTGAAAATACCATGGCCTGGGAGGGGCATACAAAGTGAAACCTTTGCTTTATTAAACTTTAAAGAGATCTTGTGCAACAGTTGTCTAATTCAGTATATTATTTCCTGACTGCTGCTCCCATAGGCATTAACTGTGGACCCAAATAAAATGAAATTCTTGACAACATCTGTTTATCATTATGTCGCTAACTGATACAGTTACAAGAGTTTTTCTTTTATGTTGAATTATAAACCACACTGAAGGGTAGAATCATTATCTTCATTACAAAGTATTTCAAGTTCTCGTTCTTGGAGCAAGGCTGTGTCTTCTGCATACTTTAGGCTGCTTCTAATTCTCATGCAACATTCTTCATGAAGCCTAGTTTGTTGGATTATCTGCTCAGTATACAGACTAAAAACCCTGCTACGTATCCCAACTTAGGTAATAATTTACAAAGTTATTGCTCCTGCCTGCTGCATAGTATTCCATTGTGTGAATGTACCATAATGTCTCAATCCATTCATTTGTGGTTGGACATTTGGGCTGTTTCCATGTTCTTGCGATGGTGAATAATGCTGCTATAAACATTGGTGAAATCTCAGTTTGTGCTTCAGTTCTCATCTCAGGGTATGAAATGTCCAATTTTTAAATGATACAGAATGAATTATCTCAATAAGGCTGTTATTAAAAATAAACTACAGAATTATCTACTGAAATTAAATATATATGAATTTCTTTTAAACACTCCTAAATGTACATGTAATAGAAAAATGCATATATACTAGACTGAAAGAATTATCTGTAATAGCCAGAAGTGAGAGGCAACCAAAAATCCATCAACCATAGGATATATAACCACATGATAGAAAAATATCCAACAGTGAGAATAAACCACTATTAAATTCAACCACACGGATGTCATCACTAGCAAGTTGAGTAAAAGCCAGACACAAAAGAGAGTACATAATGTATGACATCATTTAAATATGGTTCAGAAACAGGTAACTACCAACTATGGTGTTAGAACCAGGTCAGTGGTACAAAAGATTAAGAGGGTGTTGGATGAGGATAGCATAACAGCCATGTGTATATTTACATAATTTGTGAACTACTCTAGGTATAATTCAATAAACCTCTTTACTTAAATTTAGGAGACATGCCCACAACAAATACATAATTAAGAACTACAGGAGTTCTCTAGAACATGGCATCTATGTCTCATATTTTTGTGTCTCTAAATCTACAAAGAAAATACTTAAAGGAGACAGCTATCTGTATCTTTGTCCTTTCAACAGAGAGAAGCCACTGTGACGTTGCTTACCTGGGCTTTTTCCCTCTTGGCTCTGATCAGTGTGTCTTGGTAATGCTGGGCCACTTCTGCATGGACTCCCTCGAGCTTGGCTGCAGGAATCTGCAAGGCCCGCAGGGTCTTCTGGGCATCACCTTCGTCCAGGGCTTCATTAATTAAACCAATGGCTAAAATCCCTAAAAATGAAGGGATAGGAAGTATTTGTTATTAATAACTAAGTTGTTGTTTACCAAATAGAACCGACCCTGACTGGCAGGTTTTCAGAAGCAGTCAATCAAAAGGGAGGAGACTGCCCATTCTTCTCCCTTGCAGCGGCTGGTGGACTCGAACCACATGCCTTCAGGAATGCAGCACAGCTTCTTGCCACTGGACCACCAGCACTCCCCACGAAACTAAGCAGCACCACCAATTACATGGTTTTATGCTTTTTAGTTTGTTTCATCTAAAGTTGAGTCCCTTGTACACATAAAAAAGGTTTCTATTCTATGAAAGATATCAGGTCTTTTGTTCATTGAGTCGTTATGAGTTGTGCTCGACTTGATGGCAATCAACAACATTCAAAGTTTACAATCTGCTTCTAGTGTGACGTCACACACATTAGAAAAGTCAGGGTTATACAATCTGTGGCTTATGGACCTCTTGTTCAAGAACACAAAACACATAAATGAGTGGCCTAGGATCTAATTCCAGGCCTCTCCTCTCCAACTCCAGGCTCCTCCTACTAAGCTAAAGCTAATACTCCCCAGGGAAAATACAATAGAAATTAGAAATGCTTGTGCCACAGTGTTTTTATGCTGTGCTACTTCTTAAATTTTCTTAAATTTAGCTCTAGGAACTTGGCCTGGGAGTCAAGCAGAAAATTTTCTTTACAGCACAAATGACCAGTTACAACAAGAATAACATTTAAAATCAACAGATGATGTCAATTCATTTCAAGAAAAACTGAGTTCCTATTAGATATATAATCATAGTAATTACCTGCTATTTTGAAACCTTAGGCTTACTCAACCTTCTAAATGATATATGGTTTTTCAATCAAAAACCCAAAATCTTCCTAATAGTTCTTGGAACCAGGTGATAGGATTGTACCACCTTTCTTTACTTGTGGCATTACTACAGCTGGAGGGAGTCACAGGGACCAGAACACTCACTCTCATGTTCCTCCTGAACCACCAGATTCACGTGATCCACACAAGCCTGGATGTCGTTCCATGTAATAAAGTCATTGTTCTCTGCATGCGCCTGGGCTTTCAGTTTCATCAAATCATCCAGATACCTGCCCCAACAAAAATTACAGTGAAGTCCAGCAAAGAACAGGGTCCTCAGGGTGCCTATGGAGGACAGGAATGAGAAGAATACCAAGCAAAGTATCTAAGGAATAAAGACAGCTAAAGGGACTCTGAGTTACTGTAAATAATATAAGAAAATGCTAGGAGATATTTACTGTCCACACTATTAAACATTCTAAATACTGAGAAATCAATCTTGGAATCAAAGGCGGTAGCTTAAGCAATTCCACTAGGAACAAGGGGGAAAGGGCGGACAAGTGGCTAATATATACTGAAGGAGTGACTGATCCACTATGTCATGATTGTTCAGCTCATCCTAGAAGCACTGATTTAGGCAAAGATTCTCAATGAGTGAAAAAAATAAAGTGAATGGATGATCTAAAAGTAGACATTCTGATGGTACAAAAACAGGATATTCCAGTAGTAAGAAAATACATAACTGTCCCTTGAAGGCATAGGCTATCTCCCCCCACCCCCAAGCTATCTCTAATTCATGGATCTTAATATCTATAATGATGGAACTAATAGAATTTATACATGCTTTTTGATTGGAGGCAGTATGAAATTAACTGCATCGCCAAAATATGAATTGATAAGCCTTAAGATTTCATTTCCAATTTACTGTAACAAATCAAATATGAAAAAAGAAACCAGAAGTATCCAGAAGATGGGGCATTCTTTTTAAAAAGTCAGTGTCATGAAGAAATGGTTTATTGTCTATTTGAAGATATATTAGGGACATGCCTACCGGATGTAACATACAGTCCTAAACTAGACCCTGGTTTCAAGAAAATAGCTGTAAAAAACAATTCAGGAACAGCTAAGGCCATAATTAAAATGGACTATCAGGTGATATTAAACAATTACTATTACTTTAGTTAGGATGTGAGCTGATGTTATTTTATCTATATAACAAATGGTCCCTTTTTTGGGAGAGATACGTATTTACTGGTAGAATTCACTGCAATTTTCAGTGATATCTGCAATTTACTTCAAATGCTTCAGGATAAGAAATAATGAGTCAAAGGAGGGGAAACAAAAGATGAACTAAAATCAGAAAACCTGTGAGGGAAACGGAGTGCTCCTGTACAAGTGCCAGGTGACCACCCTGTGCTGGACACCCACCTCTGCGAGTTTTCCTCCTCGATGTTGGTAAGGCCTGTGACTGAGCTGCTCAGCTGCTTCCACACTGTGTTCATGTCTCCTGATTCCAAGGCCCTGTTGATCAGGGCCACTGATGACAGCATCTCCACAGCAACCGAGAGCTCAGGATGGGTGAGGCTGTGCTGCATCGAGAGAAAGGGCACAGTGAGGCAGACATCCTCAGATACCACAAGTTCAGAACAACCAAGCTGAGTCTGAATTTCTGCTAAGAAAGTTCTATCTAACCACTCAGAAATGGACATTATTTAACAACAACAAAACAAGTAAATGAGTACTGAATTAACTTCCACCCCATATGCTCACAAACAGGACAGGTTGGCTCAGTAACGTACTTCAGGACTCTGCTGCTGCAGGGTAGCCAGTTCTTTCTGATAAAGATCGGCAGCAAACGGATACACCTGGGGCAGCTGGGCTTCAGGATTCATCAGCTCCAACACCGTCTTCTCAGCAACTCCCTTTTGGATTGCCGCATTAATTGCAGCCACTGCAGCCAATCCTGGGTGGAAAACAGAATGTCAGATATGCAGCTAGCTTAGTCCTAAAAGGAACGTTAGGCCAAATATTAATGACAAAAGTCATATTCTATGGATGAACTCTGAACCATAAAGGGTGAGGAGGCACTTATCTTTAAAAATCAGCCACCTCTTTTCACCCCTATTTTCTGGGTATCCCAATCACCCTGTGTGTGACCACTATTCATGACCTCAAACATCTCTTCTTTCTCCTGGATTCGCATTCTAGGTTTTTAAGCGGTCATTCAGGTACTGCACGATCTTTCTAACACTTTGTCTTAACATAATTCAGCCCTAAACACCTCAACATTTTATATTTTAATCTGTGGCACTTATATAAGTGTTCTTCCTTTCCCTTTATTGGCTCATTAGGAATATTCTTTTCTCTTTACATCATTCAAATCGTACTTGTCCCTAAGTCTCATATCCTACAGATGTGGATTAACAGCCAACATGAGCAACTATACTTTTAATACCAGAAGAAGTCCCATGGAATCTACTACTACCAAAGGTACCCAGTAGTTGGTTATGGGCGTGGGGTGGAGTAGAGTGTCAGGCCTTGTGCTGACATACAACAACAGGTCTTCTCCAACACATTAAACACACACGTTTAGCTGAGCAAACTCTTACTTCTCTGATATTGCTGGGCAGCACTGTTTGCAGCATCCACTCCAGACTGTAGCTCCTCCTTCTGCAGGGGCCCCACTTGACCACTCTGAGAAAAGCAAAGAATAATTTATTAAAACTTACTCTCTGCCTCCAGACACTATGGTTCCATTACCTCAATAGCAGTCACAAGGACAAAGAACCAGCTCCAGGCTACATGTAACCAAAGGGGCAGTCGGGACTAGAGCCAAAAGCCCCTGCCAAATCTATAGTAGTGCGACATTCCAGAAGTCCATTTTAAAGAATTTGTCTTTTAAAAGTGCCATGTTCCGATACAACTATTAGCAAATCAATGTTTACTCTAGCCAACATATGCTGGGAAACTGTACAATGTACACTTGCCCTTATTTAGACAAAAAAAGTCCTTCAAAATATCTGGTCTAAAAAAACCACTAAGGACAATCTCACAGTCTATTCTTGCTGTGTAGAAAGTACTTTCCCAGTGTTGGCTATAGAGGCATGGCTTTTCAAAGTAGAAATTCCTGAAGCAGGAATATGAAAGAATTAATGTTTTCTCCAGTGCCTTTCAGTTGGGGGAAAAAGGAGTGCTGGAGCTAAGGTTAAAGCTGTTTCTAAATTAAGTGTAGGATAATACACCTTTCATGAGGATTCTTTTTCATCTGATTTATATGCAAGAGAATACTAGTAAAAAGGAGATGGTCCATCTCTTTAAAAGAGCACAGATTCAAGCAGATGCATACCAACCCTTGCAGTGTCAAGTCTTTCTTTTTACCTGTCTCCTCTGTTGTCTATCACTCAGGAGCTGCTTTAGGTACCAGTCACTGTTCTGTTGCTGCAGACCTTGAAGTCCCAGCGCAGGGGACTGCAGAGCCTTGAAGAGTGCCAGCGCAACCCCCTGTTCTAAAGCCAGGTCAATATTTGACAACGCAGAATACGCTAAGGAGGAAACAGACAAAGGCTATGTTGACATAATATAATAGATTATTTTTCACTTCCTAGAACCTATGCCAGGGAGTTCTGATGGCCTAGTGGGTAAGAAGCTTCATGGTTCTAATCTACCAGCTGCTCTAAGGGAGAAAGAACAGAATCCTCTATTACGTTTTTTTTTCTCCCCTATAATTATATTTTATTAATTTTCATAAACATTTACAGAGATTTTGGGTTTCCATTCATTCATTGTTGCACTATTCTCTCTACCCTCCTCC